GGCGGTTAGGCGCCAGACAGGCAGCTTAGTTTGATCGCTGGTTGCTGCTCAGAAGAAAGAGGTGTCGGGTTGCATGCGCGGGGGTCGGGTGACAACGCGATTCGATCCAGGTGTCACGGCGCGCGCAACTGTGCGGGGGGCGGAGGGCGAGGGGCGGGGGGCAGGTGCTGCTGCAAACCTACACCCGCATGTTGGGCAGGTTGCATCACGTCGTCAACCACTGGTTGAGGGTTATGACCAGGACTCTCAACAGGGAGAGGTTGCGTGCAGGGACTTGAATGCCATAATCGCTCACCTCATTCACCAGATCACCCTCGCTAACAATCTCGACCTGAAGGGAGCGGCAGGGTCAGGGGTGAGGGTCTTTGCGTGTCAGGGTGCAGCATGCGTGCACGTGCACACGAGTGGGAGGTTGAAGGGCAGGGGCAAGACCACCGGTCGAGCCCAGGGGTGACAGGAGTGCCTGTATGCCAAGGCAACCAAACCTTGGGCATGACATACTCCATCTTTGCTGACCCCAGCAAGGTGTCAAGGAACTTCTGGTGGACCCTGCAGGAGACAAGTCAATGGAATACGTGCATAACGTGATTGACAAAACCAGATCGAATAAGATCTGGCTCCGTCAGAGCCGTGCAATGGCATGTGGTTGTACTGTCAAATAAGATCTGATAGCTTGCCCTCAGTCACGCATCCCACGCGTGTGGGGGTCAGGGCTCACCCCTCCAGCAGCCATGAGTCTGCCAGCACGCCGCTGTACATGTAACCCAGCACCCTGTGCCGCATTGCAGACGGCAGCACAGCCAGCACCTGCGGCCAACGGGTGAGTTGCGATGAGAAGTCCCGCACGTGTTTAAGCTGGGCGCAGGCCGCTGCCCGAACACAAATGCACACTGGGCCACAGAAGAAGGCAGCAGCCAGCGGAATTGCGGCGGGCATCATGCATGCGGAAGCATGCAGGCAAGTGCTATTTTTACGCGTGCTGGCTCATGTCGTCGGCCGTCCTTGGCAGGCTGATGACAGCGCTCTGGTTTCAGACGGGTCGCTGGCGGGGCAGGCGTGTAGTGGCGTGCAGGCCCACCCGCTCATCGGTGGCCTCCTGGGCACTGTGGTGCAGGCGCAGGTGGCCCCGCATTGCGGACAGCATATCCTGTGGGGAAGGGGTGAGGTGGAAATGAGAAGTAGTGCGGTGGGAGTTGCCGTATGGTGGGGTTGTTGGCAGTGAAAAGGGGGATGGGTGGAAGGGTTTCCCCGTGGGGGGGGGGGACTTAACAGCTGGGGCTGTGCATACGGTAAAGTGAGAGCAGGTGTGGCCGAAATACGCACATCAGCAACGAACCGCGTACAGCAGAGGGGCCGACACCTGAAGGCAAAGCACTTCCTTGAGGCAATGTGGGCCTCAGTCCTGCTTTGCTCCCATTCATGATTTGCAGGCGAGGAGGCATGCTGTCAGGTGTGACAGGCAGGGCATGTTGGCATTGGTGACATCATCTGCCTCGCACCTTCGGGATGCGGTGCGTGGCACCGTACTGCTCCAGAACTGCCAGCTCAGACCTGTACCGCCCTGTCTCCTCGTCGGCGCGCGTCACCAGCAGGGTGACCGTGCCTGGAAGGGTCCAGGCAGGAGTCGAGGAGTGCCCGCAAGGCCGCTTTATGATGAGGTGGCTCAGGTGTTACAGGTGGCACCCAGGTGAGCCGAAAAGCGAGGTTTTGTGATCGTGCAAACCCTCGCAGACAAACGGTTGCTGGGACCCGGCCCTGCTTTGATCATCAGTTCTCTTCCAGAGGCCTTCGCCACGCTAAATTAGCCAACCGCGCGAAACAGCAGAGGAAGTATGCAGCCCCTGCTCATGGACCATTGAGTGGCGCTGGGCTCACCTATGATGTAGGCGCCGACGAAAACGTTGAGGTAGATGTAAAACGTGACAAAGGCGGCCTCCTCGACTGTCTGCACACGCAAGGAGTGTCATGGACGGGTTCTTGCGGGTTTTTTATGTGCGTGCGTGTCAAGCGTACAAACAGTGACTCTGACAGGAGGAAGGGTGATGAGGACCTAAGCAGCAGACTAGCGCTGACAGCGCCCAAGTACAGGACAAGGGGCGAGGTGTAGTCAACTGCCTGCTGTTTCTGATCGCTGGGGGAATGAGATTGCATCAGTTGCAGTGGGCCCACCTGAGCGTGAATGTCGCCGTACCTTTGAGAGCGTGTGAAGACAGGGCAAGGCGAGCCAGGTGGGTCAAAAACAACGCACCGAGATTGGCCAACCACTGCTCATAAGAGACTGTGTGTCATCTACCAACGGGCGTGAGCATGCGCGCAGTCCAGCGTGGGCAAATTCTTATCTTGCCCACACAGCAGGAAGTGCTTTGTTTACAACCAGCGCACATGCAACTCACCCGACCGTGGCAAAGGTGACTACGGACCTGGGAGGTGTGGGGCGCACAAGATGAATCAGACTAGTACATTGGGGTGTCCGAGAAGGCCCCCACCACCAGCTTTGTGTGGTGCCAGCATCCTTGGCGCAGCTCTCACACAAGGACCACGCGCCTCGCCGCACGATGGCACCTGATCACGACCATCTGACATCTCAGTCGGCCGCCAGAGCTGGCTCACCAGTAGAGGGAGAAGATGTACTTGCCAAACGGCGACGCGTCGGGCATGCCGCCCGCCCCGGTGACGGCGTCGTGCGCGGGCGTCAGCCACAGCACCACAGAGCCCTCGGTCTGGCGAGCAAGGTAGAAGAAGACGCTGCGCGGGCAGGCCGCAGAGCGGGGCAAGGCAAGCCGGTAGGCTGGTGTGAGGGAAGCGTGTCACGCATGAGCCAAGGCCACCGGAGGTTGGCGAGGGCAGAGCGTCTGCACTGCCCTAGCGCAGAGGCATGGTGAGTTGCTGGTGGTGAGGCTGGTGGGTTTGCGCAGCACAGTTGTCGCTCAAGCCAATGGGTGTTGAAGCACATGCCCTGGCGGCCACCTCTGCTCGCGGACATGCTACACGGCTGCCCACATCCAGCTGCTTGATGTAGCAATGTCTGATCACTCCGCGCTGCCACCTCCTCTCTCCTCATCTGAGCCAGCAGGCAGTGCCCCTCACCAGGCACCGATGTGTGTGCAGTAGAACAGCACGAGGCCGTTGCGCAGCATGGTCAGCCAAAACAAGCTGAGGCTGGTGTTGTTGGTGAGGAACAGGGCCCACTGCATGGGTCATCGGTGAGCGCAGGGAAGAGTTCGTCAGGGACCGTCAGTGGAGCGGCAGGTGCAAAGCGCGGGCGAAGGCAGCCTCCGGCGCCATGGGCGAGCCCGGGTGGTCGCAGTGGCGCTGGGGTCAAGGAGGGGCGCTTACTTCTATGTCTTCCGAAATGCTTTGTCCCGTGCATTCGACCCCAACACCTTGCGCACGCATGCATGTGCATGCAAGCGCACATGCACATACGAGCACACGCATGCACGCATTCACACACGCGCGCGCGCACACAAACAAGCAGCACGTACACGAACACATACACGCACATATGCATGCGAATGAACAGGGACAAATTCACACCAAAATGCTCACGACACAAGCACAAAAAGTCATATGCAAGCGCACCTTATTGAGGCGGTAGGCGCGCCCGATGCGCAGCAGGCGCAGCAGGCTGACGTAGCGAGTTGCTACTGTAGACTCGTGCCTCAGGCCCAGCACAATCCTTGGGACGAGGCGGGGTTGACAGGGTACGAGGACATGGACTGAGTGGGGCATCGATTGCACAGTTGAGACGGTAGGCAGACCGCAATGCAGCCACTGAAAATCCGCCTCCCATCAACACTTACAAAGGCCACCCTGCCAGCACCCGGCCCATCCGGCGGGAGCGGCATCTTTTCACGCTGCCAGTGCCGACAGCAATGTGCTTCTACTGCATTTAAAACGGGCTGTGACCTGACAGCACGCGCCGCCGCGCCGCGCAGCGCCAGGCCGCACCAGTCAAAGGGGATCGTGGTGATCAGATCGACCCACAGCTGCCACTCCGCATAGTGCCGAGCGATGGCCCGGGGGTTTGTTACAAGGGTCCCGTCCTCGTCATAATACGCCACCTGCAATTCAGGGCGGTTTATCGGCGGGTGCCGTCGGTTGGGGTCGCCTGCATCGCCACTGCAAGCGTGCATCGCTCACGATGTGGCGTACGCACGCTGTGCTTGACACCGAGCATCCGCAACACGTGGTTGCACGCGCCCAGCAACCCAGAGCGCCTCCAAATGTTCCCTGTTTGCGCCCTCTGCCCAATCACCCTGCACTGGTGCCATCCCCCCCTTTCTCCGTCAACTTCACCCCCCCGCTCACGAAGAAGTTCAGGCAGATGTCCAGGGCATAGGCCACTATGAGCAGCGAGGTGATGATGGTGTCGGGGCTGTTTACGGGGAAGAATCCGAGGTTGGGGGCGAAGGCCAGGAAGGCGGGCTCGCAGATCATGGTTGCCAGCACGGCCAGGGCGATGAATGCCCACCAGGGGCGGATCCTTGGGGTGCATTTTGGGGGGCAAGGGGGTGGAGGTGGG